AGGTGCCCCTTCTGCTTATTAGGTTTTAGTGAAGGGATAATTTAGGTCTCAGTCTACAAGGTAAGCCTGATTTAACAACTTATCACCTCCGACTTTTCATGAAATGAAAAATAAGATGGCAAAAGTTAAGAAACAGAATGCAGGAAATTAACAGTTAATTCTCAAACATAATTTTTGCCATTAATTTTAACCTGCCTCTATAATTTGGCTATAAATTATAGGCACTGCTAAAATAACACTTTGCTAAATAATTGACTTTGTCTCTTCTTGCCTTTTAGGAAGGGTTACTCTGCAAGCACTGGTCTTGTTAATGGAGGTCTGTTTATTCATGTGTAAAATAAATGTGGGAGTGACCCTGTGGCCTCCTTGGGTCTGTTTTAGTTCTAGAACATTAAGAGCTAGTGAAAGAACAAAAAAGGCCATCAGGAGGGAGCACACACCAGGCATTAAGGTAACCAGCCAGCCACTAAAACACCTCCCTTGAATAAATATGAATATAAATATAAAATTTTCCAGGTTTTGTGGCACCTGGGTGGCTCAGTCAGTTAAGTGTCTGTCTTTGGCTCAGGTCATGATCTCATGATTTGTGGGTTCGGGCCCTGAGTTGGGCTCTGTGCTGAGAGCTCAGAGCCTAGAGCCTGCTTGAGATTCTGTGTCTTCCTTAGTCTCTGCCCCTCTCTGCTCACACCCTGTCTCTCTGTGTCTCTCAAAAATAAAAAAAACATTAATTTTTAAAAAAAATTTCCAGGTCTCTTCTTGCAGAAAAATTACTAACTACTGAATTTCTCTGTTCAGTCACATACACAATGAGACCTAAACACTGTGTCGATTTGTCTTTACCAGCGATCTGTAAAAGCTTTGGATTTAATATTGCCAACAGTGAAAAGGTTTTGCATACGCAAATTTACATGCATGTTTATTTATGAATTAGAAATCTATTATGCTCTTATATGCTACATCATGGAGACTATGACATATAAAAAGTAAAAAAGTAAGGAATAGGGCTTAAAAATACATCAAAACAGGAGTTGTTCTGTCTGCTTCCCATGACAGAAATTATATCCGGCTTGGATTTTCTAGCTCATACCCTGGAGATGAGTACTCTGCCTCAGAGTTCTGGTCTAAAACACCACATCTTTACGTGTTGCTCTCAAGATGCTTCTAATGTTTACACCAAGATTACAACCCTCATCCTAAACATTTATATATCGCTCTCCAAAATTACTTATTTTCTCTTAATAATATCAGTTTGAAGAGTATGTTCTTTAATTGGTTCTCAAAGGAGTTCCGGGGCACCTGGGTGGCTCAGTCGGTTAAGCGTCCAACTTAAGCTCAGGTCAGATCTCATGGTTTATGGGTTCGAGCCCTGTATGAGGCTCTGTGCTGACAGCTCAGAGCCTGGAACCTGTTTCCGATTCTGTGTCTCCCTCTCTCTCTGCCCCTCCCCCACTCATGCTCTGTCTCTCTCTGTCTCAAAAATAAACAAACAAACAAACAAAAAGGAGTTCAACACAAGAACCTTAATGATTGAACCTTAATCCTATTCCGAGCAGGGTTTGCAGGTTTGAGGCGGGCATAAGATGGGGAGTGTGCATTGCAGGAGGCATATCTTTAGGTTCTTTTGAGATTTATAGTCTAGTAGAAAGACAAGGAGGTTTAAGTTGGAGCAGTGTCTCATGTTTTCCTTGGCAAAAATACCAACATTAAGTAAGAATACTATCTGTAGTGACTTCAAAAGGGAAGGTTCTACAAAGTCAACAACTGATACTTCCCAGATGGGATACTTACCTTTCCTCAATAGCTAACTTTTACTCCACAGTCACAAGGTACCCAGAAGCAAAGCCTCTTTATGTGTACTCGATTGAATTAAATGAGGCAATTCTTTTCCCAGATCCTCAAGATTTTTGTTTTTCCAAAGAATCTTACAAAAAGTACACATTTCCTACCCAGCCTTGGCCACATCTGCCTCATCTACACACTCCTTCCAAAACCACTCCCTGGGCACAAGGACCTGGCTGGCATGTGAAGACTCTACTTTAGTTGATCCTCCTCAGTATGTGTCACTTGAATCCCATCAAATTCCTTTGCTAATTATTAGCAAGGCCTATTTCTAGTCCTTTTTTATTATTTCCTCTACAAAAACCAAAAATTACAGCAATGGATTTAGAAAGCAGTGCAAAGTAATGAAATCCTCGTAATAACAGAGATGTTTATTAGATTACACTTATGTCACAGATATCATTTTATTACCATGTTCCCCTACAGTGTTAGCCACAACTCTGAATTCAGGCTCCCCACTCCTATAAATAAGATGCTCTCCATGAACTGCTCTTCTAATAGAGAGTGGCTACAAATAGACCTACGTCATCTAGCCAGTTTCCAAGTGTTGATCTCTTAAGGTTAGTATTAAAAAAAAAAAGGTGGTTTTCTTTTTTCATCTTCTACAAAACCAGAAAGTAAAAATATTTGCTGTTTTTTTCTAAGTCATTTTATACTGTGGTCACAAATACAACATTATTTTAGGATTCTACCCACTTTTTTTTAAATTTATTTATAATCTTTGGTTTTTTAAACCAGACCAGGCCACATACTGGACTGGGAGTCTGTCAATTTCTTAAAATAATACGTGCAGTATATTAGGTTAGTGAAATGTTAGAAGTAGAACGTAAATGTTCTTACCATCCCCACCCAAAAAAGATAAATAGGTGAGAAGATGCATGTGTTAATGTGTTAGTTAACTAGATTAACTAGATGCTTTTATAATATGTACATATATCAAATTACCATGGTATACACTTTTATTAACATCTTACAATTCTATTTTCTTTTTTAAAGATTTTTTAATGTTTTATTTATTTCTGAGAGAGAGAGAGAGAGAGAGAGAAAGACAGACAGAGTGAGCAGGGGAGGGTCAAGAGAAAGGGAGACACAGAATCTGAAGCAGCCTCCAGGCTCTGAGCTAGCTGTCAGCACAGAGCCCTACGCTGGGCTCCAACCCACAAACCATGAGATCATGACCTGAGGCGAAGTCAGAAGCTTAACCAACTAAGCCACCCAGGTGTCCATTTATTTTCAATTCTATCTCAATAAAGCTGAAAAATAAAGAAAATGTTGCGTTACCATAAAAAAATTGAAAGTTAAAATAACACATGCAATACAAAGCTTGCATCAGACTCCTCACTAATACCTATATGCCACAGCTGTTATAAGGCTTGATATTTACCAAATGGCGCAAGAGGCCAAGGTTAACATACCATGGGTCTAAATCTTGTTATCATCTCACTGTGTCTTACTTTCTCCTACATCAATGCACTTTCTACTTCTACTTAGGCCAATCATACACCTTCCATGAGAGGTTAGAAAAATGGGTGCTTTAGGGCAGAAGCTGGTCTTCTTATCAGGAGCTACAAATGTTTGTGATGATTGTCTCTACAGTTTGCTAATCAGAAAACTAAAGGATCTCCAGCAGACTGATGCACCCTCACCTCTTTTGGATCCTCCATCCAGTACAGAGATATGTGCACAGTATTTCAGACCAAACGCAAAGCTTCCTTCAGGAAAACATCCCCGCCTTCAAGGATCTATGTTCCCCTAGAAAGGGGGGCTTTGCCAGGTTCAACCATATTGAACAAATCAATAGAAACAGATGGACCATCAGGCTTCTCTGAGATTTTAGAGACCTGTGCAAAACAGTTTCCTTCTGAAAACATTTAAGTAAGAAATCTGGGACAAGAAAGAACAGTAAACAGCCAGAAAGCATAAAACTCTTAAAACTAAATTCGGCTGGTGAGTTTATTCTGGGAAGTTGAAGAGCACATGCCTACTACAGCGTTGAGCATGATTTTCTAATACTTCAAATCGGATTTTCTAAAAAAGCATTCTTTAGATTTTCAGGAGCTAGTCAAAATGATCCATGATAGAACATCACCATGCTTACTTTGACCACCATTATTATAATTTATTTAAAACTGGAATTAGAATAATAATGATAATTGGATACTATACATGGTAAAGAAAGAATTAAAATGATAGGAAGTGAGGACTTAAGAGACAAAACAATAAAACAGACTGCAATTGTAATAACATGTACAAAAGGAAATACCAAAAAATGCAAACAAAAAAATGTGGCCACTTTGGTTATGGTGAAAAATGCTGTCCTGAGAATTGAAAACTAAAGGAGGTAAATATCTTGAAGGTTTTAAATAGCTTAGAACATCTTCTGAAGTTTGCAGGTGTTTTTAAAACTAAGACATGAAAAAGCTTATGTAAAAAAAGCAAAAATAAGTTAAACTCGAATTCATGAAACTCTAAAAATAAATAAATAAATACAGGGGTAGATTGGTTTCTAAATTAGGGTGGGAATATAAGATTCTGAACAAACAGAAACATGTGTTTCTTTCCTAGAATGACATCTAAATGTTCACCTGCACCCTTCTGCTTACCTCCACTGTCACAGGAGAATGATTTTTGTGTCTGTCACTGTTACGGATTAAATGGTCTTCCAAAATGGTATGCTAAGTCCCCAGAACCTCAGAACACAGGCTTCTAAGAAAAATAAGGTCCTTGAAGATGTAATTAGTTAATTTGAACTCATACTGGAGTAGAATGGTCTTTCCGTCCAGTATGACCAGTGTTCATATAAGAAGAGGGACAGTTACAGGTTCACAGAGAGAACAAATGCCATGTGACGCCGTGAGCAGGGATAGTGATGGGGGGGGGGGTGGCAGGAACTGACTGGCTCCCTCAGAAGCTGAAAGAAACAAGGAGGAAGGCCATCTAGAGTCTCAGAAGGACCGTGCCCCTACTGTCACCCTGATTTTGAATTTCTGTGAGGCAATGAGTTTCTTTTGCTTAAAGCCACCTAGCTTGGGGAGTGGTGTTTATTAGGGCAGGCCTGGGAAATTAAGACAGACACACTGTGTTGTGCTACGAACCCAAGCAAAAAGTCTAACTAAAGGACAAGGTTTGGGTGAGTAGTGTCGGTATCAGGAAAATCTTACCTGCCACGTAGTCGCCAAATCCAATGGTCGTTAGAGTGATGACCACAAAATAAATGGCGTCCAGGGCAGTCCAGCCTTCTATGTGCTTGAATATGATCGCAGGCAGAGCAACAAAGAGTACACAGCCGAAGAGTATAAATATGATGGTTGAGATGATGCGAATCTTGGTCTGACTAACGTTCCACTTCTACGGGTGAGAGTGAAGACAGCGAGAAAGAGACACTGATGGAGATTTATTGATTATTGGTGCACCTGCAAAGCTAACCTAACACACAGCTATCAGAAAATGACCAAGTAAGGATGTTATTTTATTCCCTTTCATGATTAATTTTCAATTGTCTTATAAAAATTGGGTCGAACACACCTAACTCAAAGAAATCAATGCTCATGATGATACTACTCTACTCTTACATAGCTTTACAACAGATAAAATACTTTCCAAATAAATTACATCTGCTCTGAGAATAAAATTTGAGATTTACATCATTCTCCGTTTATGTGAACTACTTTTGATTTTTTTAATAGTTTATTGATTTTTGAGACAGAGACAGAGCATGAGTGGGGGAGGGGCAGGGAGAGAGGGAGACACAGAATCCGAAACAGGTTCCAGGCTCTGAGCTATCAGTGTAGAGCCTGATGCGGGGCTCGAACCCACGAACTGTGAGATCATGACCTGAGCCGAAGTCAGACACTTAATCGACTGAGCCACCCAGGTGCCCCTATATGAACTACTTTTGAAATATTTCTATCCTATAGGCATACCGCTGATGGCGAGCCAAGCATAATCCAGAAATAGAGCAAAATAGAGAAAACTGAACCATGAACTAAATATTGATGGGATGCCTGGGTGACTCAGTTGGTTAAGCATCTGACTTTGGCTCAGGTCATGATCTCGCTGTTTGTGAGTTTTGAGCCCCATGTCAGACTCTGTGTTGACATCTCAGAACCTAGAGTGTGTTTCAGATTCTGTGTCTCCCTCTCTCTCTCTCACTCTCTGCCTCACTTGCACTCTGTCTCTCTCTCTCTCAGGAATAAACATTAAAAAATTAAATGATGACTATTGATAATTGATAAAAATTATTAATTTTGTGAAAAATGTCCCCTTCACTCTTATGTTTTCCTATCATTCTTCAATCGATTCAGCTGAAGTACTCACAGACGATGGCCACAGTTGATTCCCCTGTGAACCAGATGAATTATCTCTCTGTTCTATGGCTTTAAACTGTACAACTGAATAAATCAAACATGACATGGAGGCAAGAATAAATCTTCAATACCCCTTCACTACAGCTGTCTTCAGAGTCCCCATATTTTTTCACCTTCTTCTCTTACCAGGAATCTCCTCAGTATAACATATGTGTATGTACGTTTGTCCACAACAATTTATCTCCAGCTCCTCATCTGAGGCTGAACATCTCTAACTGGAGCTTTCCTATCTGCTATTAAAATTATAGGTCACATCCCCACCATATAAAAACCACTAAGTTTTAAAACTTGACAGTTTTCTAGAGATAACGATCTAGGAAACCAATTCAAATGGAAGGTGAAAAACAAAAGTTTCTCTAGCCCACCACTCTTATCACATACGTGAAAATTAGACAAGTTTATGTTGTACATTCTCACAACAGTGGTTAGTACTAAGTGTGGAATCATGACCACTGGCATGTATTCCCTGCCAGGGCACAGGCTCTGTTTTGTGCACTGATGTAGCTGCAGCATGAAAAACATTGGCTGGCATCCAGTAGGCAACCCAAAATTTGTTGAATAAAATAAAACAAATGAATACACAAACAAAGAGCAGAATAAGAACTATAAATACAGAGAACAAACTGATGGTTGCCAAATGGGAGGGGGAAGGGAGAAGTGGGCAAAATGGGTGAAGGGGAGAGGGAGATACGGCCTTCTGGTTATGAAATGAATAAGTCAAGGGAATGAAAGGCACAAAGAAGAAAACAGTGATATAGGAATAGCAATGTAATGGGACAGATGATTGCTACACTCATGGCGAACACAGCATGATGTATAGACTTGTCAAGGCACTAAATTGTACACTTGAAGCTAATGTAATATTGTATGTAATACTGTATGTTCAAATTAAAAAAAATTTAAGGAAAAAAACTGTTGAATGAATGAACAATTCAGCATTACATTACCAAGTTAATGGCACTAATCTTCCCTCTCAATTAACGTAAATACAAGAGACTTTTGATAACAATATAAGAAAAGTATAATACCCCAAACAGGATGAAACTCTTATTTTGGAATCACCATACCTACTCCAATTCTAACAGTAAAAATATCTGAGGGTGAATTGTGAACTTAAATATAAAATATAACTAATGTTAAAACCTGGAATATAAGGGGTACCTGGGTGGCTCACTCGGTTAAGCAGCCGACTTCGGCTCAGGTCATGATCTCACGGCTTGTGGGTTCGAGCCCCGTGTTAGGCTCTGTGCTGACAGCTAGCTCAGAGCCTGGAGCCTGTTTCAGATTCTGTGTCTCCCTCTCTCTCTGACCCTCCCCTGCCATGCTCTCTCTCTCTCTCTCTCAGAAAAAAAACAAACAAACCTGGAATATAAATGGAAAAACCAATACTCAGTAGTCTTAGTCCATCAACAGAATTAAATGTAAAATACTTTGTTGAAATGTTTGTGAAAAGACGAAACATTACTGAATATGTAAAGTGTATTTGTAACAGTGGTGATGGTAGTAACATATCCTTTACAATCCCACCCTCTCGTGCAACCATTTTCTTGGTAATTTTCTTCCAGAATAGAAGCTTTTAATCATAGTGGTATTATTACTACTTTTGATTTGTCATTCTAATAAAGTAATTTTCATTTTATTTTTTTTATTGAGTATAATATAGCCATGAACATCTTTGTGTGTATTACTTGTGGTTCCACTGAATTACATCCTTTAGATAAGTGTCTATCCGTGACATCACTGAATTATGTCGTATGATTGCCTTTATCGTGTTTGCTAAATATGATGTCCTTTGCAAAAGGACTATGTAAGTTTAGAATGACACCAGCAATGAATAAAGATGCGAAAAATTTTAAACTAGAAAACATCGTCAAGTATTTACTAGCTACGTGAAGCTTTTATTTATTATCTCTAATTCTCAGAGTGATGTCTCCATCCCCAGTACCACGGTTCACATTATAGAAATGACAAACGGGAGATTTCGGGGTAAAATAACTAGCTTAAGGGAATACAGCAAGACAGGGCCCCTGGGTGACTCAGTCAGTCAGTTACACTTCCGACTTCAGCCCAGGTCATGATCTGGCAGTTTGGTGGTTTGAGCCCCGCATTGGGCTTTGTGCTGGCAGCTCAGAGCCTGGAGTCTGTTTCAGATTCTGTGTCTCCCTCTCTCTGTCCCTACACTCCTCTCAAAAATAAATAAACCTTCAAAAAATAAAAAAAAAGAGAATACAGAAAGATAAGACATCTGGAATTTGAATCTAGGACTGTCAAATTCTACTTTATTTCTGCATATTTGGGAGTTTTCTCATGCATTAATTTACCCATCCAAATTAAATATAAAAATAACTATACAGTGAGTTACATGCATAAAAGATTATGGAAAACCCAATAACTTGAATGTCTAACTGCACCCTAGGTGACAGAAAAGTTTAATTAAAAAAAATTAAACAATATGTTGTTAAAAGGCTATATTATACTTACAATAAAGGTATCTTCCACTTTTGCAATTCCTTTTCCAAATATGGTCCCTAGTTGATCTCCAACTCCAGCCAACAAAAAACCAAAAAGGGGAATTCCCAGTAAGGCATAGATGATACAGAATATTTTCCCCCCTTCTGTGCGCGGTGAGATATTTCCAAATCCTAAACACACACACAAAAAAACAGTTGATTATAAATGAGTAATAGTTTAAAACATATGACCTTGAAACAAGAAAACCAAACCAGGGCTTTGGCTCTCTCCATTGTGACCTAAAACTTTCTGGTTGGATTCTTCATTCTACCTGGCACTTGGCACAGCCAGGAGACTGTAACGACCCCCTCCACCAATAAAGTCTTCTCCGGGCCAGTAAGACCCTGCCTGTAATTGATCTCAAGACAGCGATTCATTTAACTTTCACTGCCAACTGCGCGGGCCCACCCACTTTTGCCCCACATTTTCCTTTTTTTTTTTTTTTTTAAATATTTTTATTTATTTCTAGGAGAGAGAGAGAGAGAGAGACAGCGTGAGCGGGGGGGGGGGGAGGGAGTCACAGACTGAAACAGGCTCCAGGCTCTGAGCCGGCAGTCAGCACAGAGCCCGACGCGGGGCTCGAATCCACGAACCACGAGATCATGACCTAAGTGAAAGTCGGACGCTTAACCGACTAAGCCACCCAGGCGCCCCTGAAAAGCTGAAACTTTCATATGTTGCAGGTAACAAATGCAAATTACTACAGCCATTTTTGAGGATAATTTTTCATAAAGTAAAGTAGACACTTACCATATGACCAAAAGGAAATAAAACTATGAATCCACACAAAGATTTATACATAAATGTACAGAGAAGCTTTGTTCATAATAGTCTAACACTGGAAACAAATTAAACGTCTATCAACCAGTGAATAGCTGACTAGACTGTGGTAAATCCATACAAAGGAATACTACTTGACAATATAAAGAAACTGCTGAAACATGCATCAACAAAGATAGATCTCAAAGCATTATGGTCAGTGAAAGAAGTTGGCCATAAAATGCTATATACTTTACAGTTCCGTGTGCATGAAATTCTAGAAAAGGCAAAACTATAGTCACATAGATTAGATCAAGTGGTTAAACAGGGTCAGATTTGGAGAGAGGGGGCTAATTGCAAAGGTGCATGAGAAAACTCTTTGAGGTAATGGACATGACTGTATGCATTTGAAAAATCTCATTAAATCACACACTTGAAATGACCCATTTTTATTGTATGTAAGCTGACTTTTTTTTTTTTTATTTTTTTATTTATTTCTAGGAGAGAGAGAGAGAGAGAGACAGCGTGAGCGGGGGGGGGTGAGAGAGAGGGAGATACAGACTCTGAAATAGGTTCCAGGCTCCGAGCTGGCAGTCAGCACAGAGCCCGACGTGGGCCTCGAACCCACGAACCACGAGATCATGACCTAAGCGAAAGTCGGACGCTTAACCGACTAAGCCACCCAGGCGCCCCTGCCCCACATTTTCCTAATATAAGGAAACCTGGAAGTATTTCTGGCATATGGAGGCAGTCTTTAAGATGCTAGTCCACTGTCTTCCTAGTGTTGGCCTCACTGAAATAAATTCCTTTCTTGCTTCACTGCCACTCATTTCTCTGCCTTGAGATTTTGTCAGCAGAGAGTGCCTGGACATGGTCTGTTTGGGAACCCCAGAGCCAGCTGCCCTTGCATCCCTGCACCCCAGCTATAATACCAGGGGCCCCTGGTGGCTCTGTCAGTTAAGCATCCAACTCTTGGTTTCGGCTCAGGTCATAATTTGGCGGTTTCGTGAGTTCAAGCCCCAAGTCGGCTTCACACTGGTAGCACGGAGATTGCTTGGGTTTCGGTGTCTCCTCTCTCTGTTCCCTCCCCACTCACACTGTTTAGGTATCTCTCAAAACAAATAAAAATAAACAAAAAAATTAAAACAACAACAAACCATGGGCCCAAAATGGGACCACTTAAGACTGAATCCCCAAACTGGGGCTTAATAGCTAATCTACTTGTAGTTTCAATTTATTCCAGAAATGTAGTCTTAGTCCGAACCTTAACCAGTCTGTCAGGAATTTTCCTATCAGAACCAAAGTGTGGCAGATCACATCGGCCCTCACCATCACCCCCTCATCTTCTTCTCACCCTTAAAGGAAGATGATGTGGTCTGCATGATAAGACTTCCTGCCCATCCCTCTTAGGGAAAGCTATCTTGCCTGGAGAATCCTTTTCTTTTACCAGTAACTTTATTGCCCCACACCTACTCTCTAAAGATGTTGCATGTTGTATAACTCCTCCGAGCTCCCAACTGCTTGCTAGATGTATGTTGCCCGATTCATGAATCACTTGATAAAACCAATTCAAATGCACTCAGGAAATTTTGTTTTTTAACAACCTCAAGGGTAATTCAGAAATTCCCAAACATTAAAAGATATTAATCATAGATTTCAACTAGTTAAGAATCCTTTTAAAATATATTTTAATATAAAATATTTTAGTAAGCAAACATTTCAATAATCCACAATGTAGAGCTAATGTTCCAATTAAACCAGATGATGAAAACTGAAGGGGTAACACATGCAATAATGCCAACATTTTCATTAAATGTATTTCTCTATGTATATACTGATAATACATTAACTATAGAGCTTTTGTGGTCCTTTACTGAGAAGAGTACACTGCATTCATTTAAGAGAATTCAGGGGCACCTGAGTGGCTCAGTTGGTTGAGCATCTGACTTCTGCTCAGGTCATGATCTCAAGGTTTGTGAGTTGGAGTCCCGTATTGGGCTCTGTGTTGACAGGTCAGAGTCCCGAGCCTGCTTTGGATTCTGTGTCTCCCTCTCTGCCCCTCCCCCACTCACTCTCTGTTTTTTCTCTCTCCTTCAAAAATAAATAAAAATTAAAAAATTAGAGAATTAAAATATGCTAAAATTACTTAAAGATGAAAGTTAAATAACAACTTTTAAAACCCTGTTTTCATTCAAGCACCTACAAAAAGTAATAACCAAAAGCTTTATTAATTAATAACCAAAAAAATTGTTAACTTTTTTTTAACATTCCAAGGATTTCAAAGGTGTAGCAGAGCAAATTTTGCTACCCTAAGATATGTCTCTTTGGCATCCCGATTATTATTTTTTTTAATTTATTTATTTGTTTTGAGAGAGACCCAGAGCAAGAGGGGGAGGGGCAGAGAAAGAGGGAGGAACACCGATGATCTGAAGCGTGCTCTATGGTGACAGCACACAGCCCAATACGGGGCTTGAACTTACGAACCACAAGATCATGACCTACATTGAAGTCAGACGCTTAACCGACTGAGCCACCCAGGGGCCCTGGATTACTGATTATTTTAAGCTGGTTATTTTTAAGAAGCTGTGGGCACATAAGGAACACTGAAAAACAACTAGAAGTTACCTTTTTGCAAGAGACATAGGAATAAGGGAAATCTCTATTTGTAAGGGCGTCTGCCTCAGTACCAGAGAGAAGGGGTTGATTAAATCTCTAGAAAACTTCAACTGGAGAGAATGCATGGACTGAAATCTGCATAACAACCTTAGTCTTCTACTCAGTGCTTTCCCTAGTAGCCTTTCAAATGGAAAAGTTATATTCACAGCTTTATTCTGGAGGAAGAAGGGAGACAGCTCCTGTACAAGTTGAGATGAGTGGTTCTACAGAACTTTGATTAGTTTATATGCTGCTGCCCATGGGCTCACTTCTGCTTCTAATTTTGGAGTCTTTCTTTATGGAATTCCCTTAGAAAATTATCTCTTTAGAATCCTACATTTTGCTCATATCTGGGATGTGGGCTCCTTAATTCGAATTTCATTGTCACCTGAATCTACATGCTTCACGCCATTCCCAAATGTGTTCCTGATGTGGTGCCCTCAACATCTCCCCTGCTTTCAACACACAATGGACTTTCCTCTCCATTATTTTCATATTTTCTGTCATGTCAATGTAACTTTTTGGTGAGATAGAGGTCAAGTACATGCATATTTATATCAAACAAGTTGTAAGGTAAATTCGTATTCATATTAGATGGAATTAGCTATTTAGATTTACCAGTATCTTTTAAGATGTTAAATACTGATCATCTAATAAATAGTCCACAGATTTATAGTAAGATATGTAAACATCAGGACTTTTTTCTTAATGTTTATTTATTTTTGAGAGACAGACGGGGGTAGTAGGGGAAAGGTAGAGAGAGAGGGAGACACAGAATCGGAAAGCAGGCTCCAGGCTTGGAGCTGTCAGCACAGAGCCCGACCTGGCTCTCGAACCCGCAAACTACGAGATCATGACCTGAGCCGAAGTTGGACACTTAACCGACTAAGCCATCCAGGCATCCCAGAGGTCCATTTTTAAGGCTTGAACCTGCTACTTCCTCTGGCTGCCAGCACTCTAAATAAATTTCTGCCTTTCTTTCTTCCAAATCCTCAGTTCGTGACTTATTGGCTTTTCTTGTGACAAGTTTATCGGAGTTTTTTGGGCACCAGTGTTGGCAAGCCCAGCCGGGAACTGTGCTCCTGATTTGTCCAGCCCCCTCGGGATTCCTCAGGATAGAGCAGTTGGCCAGGGCAGCGCACCATAGCTCACCCGCTTGATTCCTGAGTTAACAGTTGTGATACATTGATCAGTAATAACACAACTTTTTAGAAATTCTGACTGTGGCATTGCTAAAAATAGGCTCTAATGTTAAGAAAAAAAATAAAAGTCTAACTGTCAGCTCAATTCGATCTGCCCTGTGTAGATTAAAGAGGCACAAGACAGAAGGACTCCAAGTTTTCATCCATCACTGACTCAGAATCATCCTGAAGGCCACTGGAACATCTTCAGAAACGCTGACAGAAGATTTCCTCAGAAAGCCCGTTTACGTCACCAATGCAATGACCCAAAATCCAAAAAGAATTTGACATGTAAGGAAAGTCAAGCTATCTTTCATTGATCAAAAAATGGAGACCAGTTCCTTGTGGGATCTCTGTACTTTACTTTTATCATCTCCAAGCCAAGTTAGCAAAAGGGAGACTGAAAGGAATAGGAATGAGGGATCCTTACAGGACTCAGATCTGAGTGTCATCCACTGTGCCTTCCCAATGTCTCTCACTATCATTATACTAACTTTATGATGAATCTGTGCCTCACAAGTGGCTTCCCTCACACA